AGAGCTCGACCCCATCTGTTGCGGATGAGGTGTCCCCCTCCACGTGTCGTGTCCCCGCTGGGCTGCCGTGCAGTGTGGTCCATGGGCTGCGTGAGCTGCGGTGGTTGTTGTAGTTGTGGTGGCACGTCCCCGCTGCTGAGTCCAGGCTGGTTCGTGGGCTGGAGGCACGGCTGCTGCTGCTGCGGTGGTTGTTGCGGCGGCACTGGGAGCTGTGATTGTGGTTGTTGCGGATGCTGCTGTGGTGGCGGTGGTTGTTGTTGTTGGTGTTGGCTTGTGGTCGTGCCCCCCTGCAAGGGGGGGTGGTAGGTGAGGGTGTACCCCCAATGGTTCGTGGCTGGTGGCACGCTGTAGACCACTTGTTGCGGCTGTGGGTCTCCAAGGCGTGTAGCTTGGCCTGGCTGGGTGGGCTGTGGTTGTGGCTCCACTTCAACTTCGTCTTCGTGCCAGGGGTCCGTGTCGGGATCGTAGGTTGGTGCGTAGTAGCCCCAGGCATCTTTCGGGGTACGCCCTGGCTGCATGCCCCCTGTGTGTTGTGGCGGTGGCTGGCATGGTTGGGGCCAGTGTTGTGCTGGCTGCGCTGTGGTGGGCAGTGCCCCCGGAGCTGCCGTCGGTAACGGGTTGAAGCATGACGCCTGCGCGTGTCCCAGCGGCGCTTGGTGTTGTAGCCCCGCTGCTGGCTGCCCACCGTATTGGGTCAGGTCTGCGCCCCAGGGGGCGCCTTGCTGCTGCGCTGGTGCTGCCGGCTGCTGGGTGGCTGCTGCTGCGCGGGTCTGCGTGGAGCTTCCTGGCTGGCCGGGCTGCTGTGGCGTGTGTGTTTGCCTCCCCGCTGTTGCTTGTCCCGGCTGGTGGCGTGGGACCGGGGGTTGCGGCCCGGATGGGTCTTTGCAGCGCGGTGTATGCGGCGCCTCTGTCGCTTGGTGGGGGGCTGCTGTGGATTCGCTCTGCGGGCTCCCCTCCGCTGTTGCTGTGCTTTGTCCTTGAGGCTGGGGCTGCTGCGTGCCCGGCTGCTGGGCGTGCTGGGCTTGCTCTGTCGTTGCTGGTGGTACTGGTGTGGCGCAGGTTGGCTCCTCTCCCGCCGGTCTCTCTCTCTCTCTCTCTCTCTCTCGCTCTCTTCCTGTCCTTCTTTCTGTCATTCTTTCTTTCCTTCTTTCACTCTGTCTTTCTTTCTTTAGTTTGTTATTTATTTCGTTCGTTCTCTCGTTAGTTCGTTCTTGCTTTATCTATCTGTTGAGTTCTTCATTTTTTGTGCTTCTTTCGTTCGTTCTTTCGTTCTTTCTGTCTTCCTCTGTTTCTCTCGTTCTTTCTTACCGGGTTTCTTGCTTTCTGTCTTCCTCTGTTTCTCACGCTATTTCTTACTGGCTTTCTTTCTTTTACTTCTTTCTTTCTTTCTTTCGTTCGTACCTTGCTTCTGTCTTTCTTCCTTGCTTGCTTGCTTACTTGCAAGGCGGTTGGGGTTGGGGATGCAGGCTCCCCCGCCCCGCTGCTACGCAGTGCTCCGGCTTTCTTCCTCTCTCTCTTCCTTCCTGGGTATATGTATTTCTTCTTGTCGTGCATTCTTTCTTGCTCTCCAGCGGCCTCTGAACCAAACCACACCCCGTGGCCAAACCTTTCAAAAATTCCTGGCACCTATACACTTTATACTATATGCTAAGTACTATAATACACGACCTATATGCTATATACTACATACAATGTACTGACTCTACATGCAATATGTATGCACTTTATGCGCACAGTATGTTAGACATTATAATATGCGTGTATATATATATATACACACACACATATATATATATATACGTGTGTGTGTCTGTGTTTCCATACAATTAAAAAGATATAACTACAAACATAACTATAAACATTAATATAAGTATTATAGAGACATTATGCGACATAAATATGAACGAACCTGTGCAAGTTTATCTATATGTATGTATACATATGAGAGAGAGAGAGAGAGAGAGAGAGAGAGAGAGAGAGAGAGAGAGAGAGGCGGGTGTGTGCGTGTGTGTGTGTGTGATTGTGTGCCTGTGCGTGTGCCATCCGCTACAGTCATGCAACCTGCCTTGGCAATGCGTCTCCGACCTGTGCCAGGCACTCACCAGCCAGAGAGTACCTAAGCTTGGTGCACCCGACTATGGTTGCACCTGGTTGGTTTTTGTGTGGCCATGAGCTATCATGTTGCTAATCCTGTAATGTCCTACAATAGTTGCAATAGTCTAACTGGGCTACGCCGATTCTGGTGGGCAGCCTTGCGGCCAGGAGGCATGCGACACCAGGGCGATGATGCAGCGCGCTCCCAAACGAGAAGCCTCAGCTGCTTCCGTTGCTAGACAGTCACGACTCCACATTGCTTCACGGGAAGAATATCAGATTTTTAAACACAATCCAGAGCCATACCATAGTCAAACCATAGAACCAAAGTATTTCCCAGCATGTTGTTACATGTGTTCAGACTGTCGGAACGGAGGTTCGGCACAAGTGGCTCGTGTGGCCGGAGGGCTTGAGTTGGGGCTTCGCTATTTCATAGCGTTTAAACTTTCAAGGCTACTGAACACAGCAGTGGAAGAAAGCAGAGCAAAGAAAGAGTGCAACACAGGGCGTCTATGGCAGGGCTCCGTGGCACTTGACCCAGAGTTATCAACGAAGAGGCCCTGTGGTTCCAAGTTGAGCGTCGTGTTGTCATCCGGTGCCCATGCAAGATCCGAAGCATCGCCGGCAATGGCCACGTCCTCGGCTCCAGGCTCGCAAAGACGATGCTCTCCAAAGGTTTAATTTAGTTGAAAACACTGAAATCCGAAAAAATGGATCTCGGTGGTTCCCGGGACTTTGGATCCGACGCCGGACTTCCAAATCAGGAACCGCCTCGCCTTACACTCCCGAAGTCGCCCCTTGCGCCGGCTCATTTTGAGTTCGTACTTGTGGTGGCTTGGAGGCAGCGCACACAGCGTCAGGGCTGAACTACTCGCACGTTCTCAAGTCTTGTGGCTGCGAGGCACCGCCATCGGGCGCCCAACTTCGCTAGTAGTAGCAGTACAAGTACGTAATTCTGTGAGGCTACAATACACTCTCACATGTTGGAACACTAGGATCGCCGGCACAGTGCCTTGTCGAAAATGTTTTCGAACTGACGTTCTGCGATTGGCATTGGGTCCGATAGTTCGAGCTGGCAGCACAAGGGGAGCTTTATCTCGCCCCAGGGCGCCTGAAGTCGCGACACCGCATGGTCACACGGGAATGTGTGAAGTTATGCCTGGGCGCTTGAAATCACACCACAGGCATAGCTGCACGTCGCCTTCCCCATGGCCACGCACTTCCTAGCACATTCCTGGCACAGACATCAACTTAGGATTTCGAGTGCCGCGCTCAGGCTTTCTTAGGAAATTATGTCCAGGAGCCCTGAAATGTCTGCCAGTTTGGCAACTAATCACCATGCGCACGTGCTTTCAGCGGTGCGCAACGACTTGGGCTAGCACACAGTACAAGCCATTCCCCATGTAGGTGTGTCTCTGACTGTCTGTCCTCTGTATGTGTGTGTGTGTGCGCGCGTGTGTCTGTGTGTGTGTCCCCAGCGCCAAACAGTGTGACCGAGACTGGTTTGGCTGAGCTGGACCTATAAATCAAGAAGGCCACGTGATTGGCTGTTAGCTCCGAAATAGACAAGCTCCCGTTCGAGACACACATCCGCGGCATCACAACACTTCAAGACCGAGCATTCCCCATGAAGATGCTCGATTCCACACGCACCCGTTCATCAAAACCAACCATTCCCCATGCAGATGCTGGATTTCGCAAGCACCAACTCGAGACACATGTGACAAGTGGCATCACAACATATCGAAACCAGCCACCCCATGTAGACGCTCAATTCCACAAGCACTCGTTCCAGAACAAATACGTGGCATCATTGCATTGTAACCGACACTGGGGACTACGCGGGAACGGGGCCTGGGGTTTGTCAAGGTTGAAGCTCAGGTTTCAGGACGTTGGGAGTGTAGTGCTTGATTTTGACGGTTTCTGTATCCAGAACCACGGTATCATGAAGTGCAATACCCAGGCCGAACAGCTTAACACCATGTGCGCGTGCAAAGATACAACATCAAGTCCATTAAAGTATGTCCATACCGATTGCCGCGACTCGTCCAGAATGGCTTCCCCCAGTGTGCACGCGCAAACGTATGACTTCACACAGGGCGGTACGACTTAACGCAACCTTGCAGTACGAAGGACAAGATTCCTCGCATCAGCTTTGACTCGTCTTCAGGAAATTGCATCCCGCTGGGATGCAGGATTCGGCTCACACCGGTATAGCCAGAGTGAGTCATGCGAGATTTGACTCCTGTACCTTAAGGAAACGAATCCCGGGACCCCACTGATATGAAAGAGCCGGGCAACAGTGAGGCGCGAGAAGCTCTCCTCGCTATTATAGATGCCCAACCGATCCTGCTTTCGATTCTGGGCCCGGCTCAAATGCTTCGTGATTCCGATTCTTCCACCATCGTTTCGATTTTCTGGTTCCCATCAACACCCAGCGACAGTGACACATCACACAAGGGCGCCCTATCAGGATGCAAAAGTTTGTGCAAACGGTGGGATTGCAAGACCCTCGACCCTGAAGACCTCACCACCGCGAACTCTGGGTCCTGAACGTCTATCGCTGCATGACCCGATGAGGATTCGGATGCAGGAGCAGGGCCGGAACACCCAATGCTTCCTAACGGAACAAATGTAAAAGCGCTCAAACACTACTGCGTCGGAAACTCATGACAACATGTGAGAATACAAGTTAAGCCGTGCACACCAACACACTGACAGTGCATTGGCAAGCTGTGGCAAGGATTTCTATGCACTAAGAGACACCATTGTGCAATAGGTACAATACTGACTGCATGGCTATAACATATCAATCCTGCCGCAATGTGACGCGACACACTTCTTCAATGTTATGATACCAGGTCTGCTGCGCGAAGAAGCAAAAAGCCCGCAAATGAAGCGAGGTCCTTGCAGTCTTTCCGCCGGAGGACGGCCAGCCAGCAAGCATCCCGACTGAAGGCAAAGCCGCGGCGTGAAAATTTTGGATATCGAATCTGAACGGCCTCAGTGGGCACGCGGCTGGGGGCGACGGAGAACGCAGGCCCTCGCCAGCCACAGAGGCCGAGGGGAAAAGACATCGAGACATCGAGCGACAAAGACGTTGTGCCGACCGGACTCGAAAGACTGCGCAAGAGGAGTCCGTATACTGCCTGGGACCTTGGGTCTAATTCCAAACTCGACAAAGAAACTCCAGCACTCTTGTCAGGTTCCCGCTCCTGGGTTACCCGACAGAGGCTCCCTCGTGCAGCGGCCAGATCGACAAATACAGCCTCGGGACAAGTCGGTCCGTGATCAAATCGGGATCGAAGCTGCTGCCAGCAGACTCAACGAGTGGACCGAGGGGCTGGAAGTCCACGGCCACGAGCACCCGATCCGTGCCAGGGCCCCAGCGAGCATGGGCAATGCCTGGGGCTTTCCCAATGTCTGCAAAGCCTAGCCATGTGTCCCAACATGTTTGCGAGTGCAATAACAACATCCGCGTTGCCCAATCGAAACCTCCCCCCTGTAGCACTTCTCATGGAAGCCCTCTTAAACCCAAGATCTCCACCAATTTCAACGGTGTCTTTAAGGCTCTGGGCACCACGGCGCCTGCAAGACCTTCGTAGATTCGGCAGGTCCATTCGCTGTCCCTGACATGTTTGCAAGTTGAGTGTCGAGCAGACGTCTACTGTTCTGGTGCACTCGTCAGCGAAGGGCAAAGCTCGAGCTCTGAACCAGCTGAGCTGTCGCCGATGCGTTTTCGTGCCTGAGGCTCCAGATCTGAAGCAGACCTTGCCGGGCAACCTCTGTCAGCAGAAACTGCGAATCTGGCGACCACTCGATCCTGCCACGCGGCCCTTTGTTTTGAAAGCGAATTCTTGCAAAGCTGTCAAAAAGGACGACGAACTGCCATAATATGCTTTGGAGTCTATTTGTTCACTGGCTTCTCCTACAGGACACAAGGGCGAGTCTCAAAGTTCGCTCCCCCTGTTGCTCACAAGTCAGCTGTGATCAGTCCTCTCGACTTTGTCGATGCAGATGTAAACCTCGCATCGGCGGACACACCCCAACTATCCCCAACTCCAACACAATGAAACTTCGCAAGCAGAACGGCCAGAGGATCGGCCAAGCAGAAGCCATTTTTCCACCTTCTCGCGTTTGCTCGTGAAGGGTGCAGGAAGCGTAGCCAACCACGCGGCTGCAGCCAAAGGCTTTCCGAAACTGTCAAGGCCACTGTTGGCAGACCCACGGTCATGCCGTGATGTGGCCTTCAGGTGAGGGAGGAGCTGAGCCTGAGAGCATCCCGATGATGCCGCTGCCCTCCGCCAGGGCGAAGATGAACTGAAAGGGCTTTGCATTGTCCAACTTCATCATGAACTTGATATCATCCGGGAGGTTCTTGACCTCCACGGACTCGACACTCACCAGGTACTTGTTCGTGGCGCTGAGAAGTTCCACTCCCAGTCCAGCCAGCGGGTGCCCTGCAAAGTTCTCGAGGTGATGCTGCTGCGCCAAGAGCCTGTACTGCTCTTGCAAACTTCGGAAGGTCATGTTGAGCATGGGAACAGAGGCAAGGAGACCCTGGACCATCTCCTCATCATAGGCCATGCGCACATCCATGGAGCCACCCGCAAAGAGCTGCACCAGCTTCTCGACCAGTGCCTGGGTATAGTCGTGGCCCACCTGATGCTCTGGGCACATGGGCGCACAAGTGAAATTGTAACGGCACTGCGAATCCTTCCAGATCCCGTCAGGGTCATTGTCATGAAGGCAGTAGGCCAAAGAGCAGCACGTGCCCTCATCTTTGCCCGAGCATGGAGCCTCCATGGTTCCGCAGAGGCTTGAAGCTGCTGAAGGTTTCTTCTTGATGCGATCGAGGATGGCCTTCTCGACGGCTTCCGTCAGCGTTGCATCCAGCATCATTCGAGTTCCTGTCTTAGCCTCTTTCCATATCGAGTCATCCGGGTGCGCCAGCATCTGCTCGATGTTGTTGTTCGCCGACACGGTGAAGGTCACGTGACCGACGTGGCTCATGATCATCTTGATCTGTGCGTCCGCGGCAGCTTTGTTAGGGGTAGGCAAAGGACGGCTCAAGATGCTGACCTGGCTGCCATAGTTCCTGACTTCTGCGACGGGGCCCATGTTCAAGCGCGCAAGTAGGCCGTTGCATAACTCCACGAAGCTAGCGGCTGCCTCTGCGTCGGTGGCTGTGACGTTCAGCTCGATTCGGTAGCCGGCTGAGGGGTCGGAAGATGCTTTCTCTCCATGGAAGAACATGTAGGAGATGTTTTCACTGGTGTCGAAGTGGCCCAAACTAGGGCCCATTGAAATTGTAGCCTTCATCGGGATCAACTTCTGCGGCGCACCGGGCATTACCTCAGGAAGCTCATTCTGGATGGACTCCACTGCATGCTCGATCGGTGCTTCAGCCTTGAGAACTGCCTGCTCCACCGCAGCTTCCACGTTTTGCACTGTCTCCGCTGCCGCTGCTGCTTCGTGCATGAGTTTCAACACGCCGAGATCCTGGAGCAAGCTTCCCAACACTTTGAATGGATGAACGTCTGCAAATGTCATCTGGACCTTCACACCGGGCAGGTTCTTGATCGACACAGAATCCAGCGTGTCCAAGTCAATGGTGGCCCCCTCCGGAACATCTGCGAGTGGGCCCAACCAGGGCTGCGGGGCTGCGTTCATCGACGTCTTCACATGCTCCAGGGGGACGGACAGCTTGGCGACGACGTCGTTGAAGCTCATGTTCAGGAATGGAACGCTGCGGAGCAGCTCGCGCCGCTTACTGTCGTCGTACGACAAACGAAGGTCTGAGGAGGCCCCCTTGAACATGGAAACGACACTCTGGACCATCTCCTTGGTCGCCTGCTGTTTCATCTGGAATATGTCCTTGCAGTACTCCCAGCAATCGGTGGCGTTGAAGAGGCACTGATCTTCCTGGTAGCGCGGATAGTTCGACTCAGGCGACGTCGGCTCGAGGCAGCTGTGAGTGCTGCAGCACGGGCCCTCCCACGAGTACCTGCATGGACTCTCCCCCACACCGCAGGTGCCCTTGTCAATTGACGGTCCGGAAGGGTCGTACCTGTGCGCGTACTCGGTGAGTCTCGCCGCAATGACCTCCTCGAGGGCCTTCGTCAAGGCGACGTCCATCTCAAAGCGGAAGCCCTGAAGCACTTCCTCAAGAAGGGGCTTGTCCTTGTCCTCCAGCATCGTGTCTGCATCCATGAGGGTGGACTCCGTGTAGTTCATGTGCTTCAAATGCCTCGCAAACATTTGCACGGCCCCATCCGCACCCGGGGGCAGAGGTCGGTGGACGCTGAGGATGGTCAGCTGCTCCTCCCAGCAGTACATCTTGAACAGTTCGGGCGGGTTCAGCGGCTTCAGCGCCTGCATCAACCTATCGACTTTGGAAGTGAAGGCATTGCAGCTGAATCCATCGATGGCAGACATGTTGGCTTCCACCCAATATTCTCCGGTCGAGTCCGATTCTTCAGCACCTTCCGTCGTGATGAGGTAGTTGACGGAGGCCCGTGGCACGATGTCATCGAGACTGGGGCCGATCTGGTTAACACCGGAAACTGTGGCCCAAGTCTCGGCTTCTGCCTTCGGGGCTGCGGTGAGGCTGACGTCGACGTCTTCCACGATCTTCTCCACGGTCCGCTCCGCCTCCGTCAGGCCATCGCCACCTTCCACGCTGAGGTGGGCCTCATTGATGCCACTCCGCCTTCCTGCAGAAGTGGACACCAAGCAAGAACAAGCAATGAGCGCCGCGATCGCATTCATGACGATCCAGGCGGAAAGGATTGCGCAGAAAAGCGGTGAGCTTGAGCGTTTGTTTGGCTAAAGGGTTCTGTCTTGAGCCCAGACATACAAAGCCCCTCCTTCTCACTCCGGGACCAGCCTGTGGCCCGAGACCCATGCAGGCTCGAAACGACGTGTTTGTGAAGCATTCCTCAAGCTATGCCTCCGACTTCTTTACAAGCCTGTGCGGGATCACCTCGGTGTCAGATCCTGCCAACATCTCGGTATTGCATTCCGAGCAGCTTGGACAAGCTTCAAGGAATCAGGCTCACGCACTTGGACGCGGTTCCTGCGTGTTGCACAAGTTGATGTAAATGTAAAGTCGAAACATGAACTGGTCACGGAGAAACACAGCCCCAACGGTGTTCCAGTTCGAGAGTAGGACGCATTCTTGACAGACTGTGGCCTGGAGATCTTGTTTGGACAGGCTTCCTTTGGGATACCGTGGTGCGCGTAAACATTTACCCTGAAGCACGAGCTGCAACAAGAGAGTCTCGCAAGCAGGGCTACGAAGTGCCGCCAAAGGTTCTTGTCTGCCGCAGCCACATACTTGGCATTCGGGGACCACTGTGCCAGAGTCTGTCCCGCAAGCACATCGGAGAAGTCCATCAGCGGCAGGCAGTCGGGCTAAACACAAACAGGCAGCAGTCCAAGAAAAAACCCTGGTGTAAGTTGCAGCTGGATGAAGCTGAGTGCGACCGGCTCGCTCCCTCGTATCAGCATCATCTCATGTACTCCTGGTTTCGGCGTGATCCTCCCCTACAGACTCGCAGTGTCAAGGTGTCGCCTTTGGAACGTTCAGAGGGAACCCAGTCAATACTCTCAACCTAAACTTGAGGTTCCTGGCCCGGGCAGCTTTCAAAACTCGCGTGAATGACACTGCCCGACTGAGACAAGCGGTGGCTGACTCGATTGGAGGCTCAACACAACAACGGGACTGTGGTTTCCAACACGCGTCGCACCCCACAGCATGGGCGAATGTCATGGCGAGAGCACCATTTTGGAGCGGCAGTACCATTTCGGCGTCTGGAACACGGGACTGATGTGCATCCAAATACGCACGGTACTGGGGCTGTGTGGGCTTCATAGTGTAGGACTTTAGCAGTTTCCGTCAAAATGCGCCCGACACCGCGGTGGGAGCGAAATTCATCAAGCTGGGAGGCGTCGAAGGACCACGCCCGAGAAAGAACGCGAGTGTAGTCGACAATGCGCACCGCGCCACAGCGAGAGGGTGCGCCTCCTGAGGCGTGCCTCGTGCGAGCAGCAACCACAAAAACTTTACCCTGAACGTGAAAACCCACATGTTGATTGGTTCCACGACGGGTTGTTGTGCCATCATCATGCCGTCCTGGCCAGTCTAACTGTCACATGGTGCTTCTGAACTGTCTCAACCTAAAAAACTGAGCCGTACTGGCTGCAGGAATAGTCATGAAGCACAGGTCCCTGCATGTTCGATAGGTGTCAAATGCTGAACTTCACAGAGCGTGTCTCTGCATCGATCGGGCGGTTCAGGGATTTCTGTCCTGCCTGGAGTTTCTGACAGCCCCGTGCCGGGCCCCTTAAAGGTGGGCATGAGTCGTGCAGAAACAGTGCCGGGTAATTTACGCTCTGACGTTCTAATTATCGCATTCTACCCGGATAAGCTGCATGAACCCATAAAGCCATGTCGTGTGAGGCTCCAAAACCTGCATCAAAGGACCTGAGGCAACGAATCCTGCTTATTCGACGGATGCACACGCTCAAAAATACAACTTACGAACACAAGTTCAGCACCGAACGCAGGTGTCTAGCTTGCGGCTCTACACTTTGAGAAACATCTTCGCCAAGGGCCTCGTGCGAATCTTCAAGACAACTACAGTGCAACAAATTATAAAACAAAGCAGCCTCCCTCTAGCCAAGGCCTCCTTCCACTTTCCACGACCTGGCAATCAAGTCCTCGCTCCCTGCCACCTAGGACCGTGCCCTGAACTCGGCTGCGCTGTCTTTCTACTCGCAAATGCGCACGGGAAGGCGCAGGAAAATCCCGCAGGGTTGGGTGCGTCGACTGCGCACATCCAACCAATGCAGGAGCAGGGCGCAGAACCCAGATTTCCCAGCTCTGGCCAAATGTTCGTGCAAGAGGACAGGCTCTGCAATGTTGGCGACTGGACCACACCATGTTGCACGCACCGACTCTGCAGTCGATATGGCTCTGATCTCGGTTCTGCGTTCTGCCATGAGTCGAATGTGGCAGCCACAGACTTGATGCCGTGGCAGGGGCTTGCCGTCCGAGATCCGACATGACTTATGCAAGGAAGAAAGACTCCTTGTTGCTTGTTGCGGCAAGGGATCAATCACATCTCGGATGGCCGCCCAACTAGGTACAGCTGAGGACAGGTGCCAAATTGCTGTCCCACAAGGGGCAACGTGTCAAACTTTGCATGCCCCATCTGTGAAAGGCATGCTGTAGTCAACAGACATGCCGAAATCGGGCAGGTTCCTTCCTTTCCAGACATTGGGAAGACCCCATAGGGGCTGTGACGTCTGCTCCAGCCGGCCTCCGGCCATCCAAGCTGCGTGCAAGGAGCTCCTGTATTCCGGCCTTCACTCCCTACCTACGCCTGGAGACTGTCGTCCTGTTCACAACGTCTGCCCGTGCTACAGGTGCTAGTGGTGCCATTGGACATCGTGCTAAGTACTGTTCTGTAACGAAAGCTTGGATGGCATCCACCGCGCTCCAAACAGAGCAACGGCGCACTGCAGTAAGCCAGGCCAGGGGCCGCCAGGGTGACCATGAGCCCAATACGTAGCCAAAATGGTCTTGGTCTGTACGGCGGAAGCTCATAGGGAGCTGGGGGCTGTGTAAGCATGTCCAAAGTTGGGTGTCAGACCGCACGGATCCCATGGTTCACGAAGTATCTCGCTCTTATGTTTGAAGCCTGGTTGCTGAGTTCCCCCGGTTGTTGGCTAGACTGCTACTCCTGCTTCTTGGGGCACCAAGCTCAAGTAAAAGTCGAAGGGCTAGATGTGTGCACTACTTGTCTCACACAGAAACACAAACAAATGCGCGCACAAACACACACAGAGAGGCAGACACACGCGCGCACACACACACACTCACGCGCACATGTATGTGTATGTATGTATATATATATATATATTTATTTATTTATTTATTTATATTTATTTATTTATTTATTTATTTTCATTTGTGTGTGTGTACATATATATATATATTTATTTGTTTATTTATATGAACACATATATATATATATGTACACATACACATACACATACACATATACAGATATATTTATATATATATACATAATAAAAACATAGGCATAAACTTATACATATACATATACACATACACATACACATACACATACACATACACATACATGTACATGTACATATACAGTACATACATACATACATACATACATACATGCATACATGCATACATATATACAAAAATACACAAGTGTGTGCATATGTATATATGTGTATACAGTTGCATACGCATACATATGTATATACACTCATGTGTATATGTCAATGTATACAGTTATATGTCAATGTGTGTATATATATATATGTGTGTATTTATATATATATATATGTGTGTATCATATATATATATATAACACTCCAGGTGTAGGCTGTACCACCACACACAGACACACCTCATGATTCGGAGTGACCACCAAGAACACGGGACACTGTAGTCGACTTTTCCGCGTTGTGACTCGGCAGCATATTTGAGAGTCGATACTGCATGAAGAAGCCGTCGACTCCAGACCCGCAGCTCTATCCTGCTCGTGTGTGTTCGCGAGTTTTTGCAGATTTTACTTCAGGTGTATGTGTGTGGCCGTGTTGGCTTGGCGAGACTGACCTGAAGTTTGTTGCAAGATGCAGCTCCAGGCAGCAGAAGACTTAGGCGATGATGGCGACATCCCAACAAGCTCCCAACAAAGGTGTGTGCTTTAGATACTTCGGGTTGGAATGCACTCAGCTACGTAGGCTCGAATGGCTCGACAACATGGTGGATTCGCTGCCTGCACTTCTTGCAGGCAGTTAGCTGGTCTGCGAAGCATGCCAGCGGACGGCCATTTTTAAAATTGAGAAACCATGTAGAGCCAAGGTTGGTAACAGGCTTGACATCTCATGCCTGCAGAACTATTTGAAGATGATGCGGTAGCAGTCCATGCATAGCTGTCACAAGCACAAAGGAGGCTGCTAGTGACTGCTCCTGTCAGAACACATTGTCAAGCCGCCGTTTGCTGTGACGCTTCCCCTTCGGGGTGCGAACATAAAACTCACAGATGTCACAGAAGCCACTTCACATGACTGTGTTTCGCAGTTCATATAATATATATATATATCTGTGTGTGTGCTACTCACAGTATGCCGCGAACCGTTGCTCACATCCGAACAGTATCTCATGATAAAGCCATATTGAACAGTAACCACCCAGCCTTCAGCACCCACCCATGGCCTACTGTGGCAAGATCCAACCACGTTCAAAGATCCGGCCCGGCAAGCCAAAGCTCAGATACCTAAATGTTGGTCCATCTTGGAGTGGCTTGACATCCTGCTTTAGTTCACATGCACTCTGCAGCTCTGTTTGATGCTAGAATCTGGATGATCCCTACATCTCAACCAGTACCCCAAACGAACTAGAGCCGCGAAGGTCCAGGTAAGCATTCCGGCCCATGTTTATGGGCGGAAAGCCTCCTGCAGGGAAGAGCGTGCAAAGTTCGAGTCCTCCGGACTTGAGGAGCTCTGGGTCCTGACGTGGCTCTCGGGATTCTAATGTACTTGCTCGCCAAAGGCTAGATAGGGCTAAGATAAAGGCTAGAATGCTTACGAGAGGAGTGGGGAGTGTGGGCAGCTGGGAGCTTCAGAGAAACACTTGAAACACAATTCAATGTGAAGTCTGTCTGCTGAATCTGCTGTACATCATCTCCACAACTCGTGGCAAAGACAACGATGTAGGATTATTTTTCTGTCACATGCTGACCCATTATGGCACTATAGTGGTCATAGAGGGCTTGACAGAATGCCTCTCCCAGATTTGTTTCTTCAAGCGCCTCGGCAAAGCTCAAGCCCTCCCACAACCCGGCTTTGAGAGACCGAGCTGCTCAGGCCACAAAGCTTCCAAGATGTCTCCGGAAGGACTCAAAGGAGACGCGCTGCCGCCCTTCTCCACCTTGGCTGCTTCTACAGGGGTCCCTCTACACCCGCAAAGATTAAGTCAATCAAGCCCCAAACCCCAGAACTCGAACTCTCTTTGCAACCGCTGTTCTTTCGTCGACCTTAATACTGCTTGCGTTCGCGCTCGCGCTAGGTGACTCGAAAGGCTCGCTCGGCGAGCCGGGTGGACTGCTGCTCGGGATCGAGGTGAAAAAAACAAGAGTCGCCAGCATGTCTTTGCATTACTACCCCTCGAGAGCATGGACGTTGGTACCCCAAGATTTTCGCGAGAGGACTAGCCAGACAGGAAACTACTCATGCCGGCTCTTGCTTTGAATTCTGGCATAACAGCTCAGGCTCGCGCTAATTGCATCGAAAGCCTTCTGTGCAGACTGCGCGGCCTGACGGCACTGCTTGAATTTTGAAGCGACTGTTCAGCCAATTGCCCAGAAGCAATCGGCTGAGCCAGCTAAACAGGAACAAGAATGCGTGGGAGAGGGGGCGCAACAGCTAGACTCCAGCCAGACCAGGAGTGGCAGAATAATATAGTAGCATTCACATCCAGGTCTTCCAGCAATGGTGTGCATTCATTCAGTGCATGTTGAAATGACTCGGCCATTGTATGCAACATGGATGTTACAGCCGACCTTCTCGCGCCGATTGGCATCGACCTTGTCCTGCTCGTCATTCGGGAGTTCAAGAGTTTTGTTTTTGTCTAGCTGACTCGTTGCCTCCCACCTAGCTAGGACGAAGCCCGCATTGCAGGGTACAGTCGAGAGAACAGCAACTCGACACGGCATCATATGGCTTATATCGCCGAAGAAGTCGTGTCGAACTACAGACATGTGGACACATGATGGTGTCTTGAAGGGTAGGGGTGACAGAGAAGCTTAAGCCTTTGCATCGAGCTGAAATAAATGCGTCTGTCACGGCGAGTCTGTGCTTGAAACCATGACCATCCACTACCATCTCGCTTCAATATGCCATATGTACAAACGGGGAGATATGAGCAGCGGCAGAACCTGCAGCTGAACCCAACACCCCAAGACCCTTACAGCGCAGAAATGCTGAGCTGAGCAGGGGCCCAAGCAGCATCGAGATCTTGAGCCCAGAAATCTGCAAGAAAACTCTCCAGAGTTCCCACGTGGCAGATCCTCTGGCGTGGAGGACGCCTTGGATCCTCGCTCTAAGAGCCGCTGGAGCTCACCTGGGAGTGGTGCAAGGCCACGGGCTTTGGGTTAGGCGTGCGGGGTTAATTTTGCAGAACTGCAACAGAGAAACCTTGGCTGATGGTCTTCTCTGCCATTGTTTTTCTACCGACCAATAGCCTGTAATACAATCCAAGGAGCAACACGACCCTTGAACGGCATCTACAGCGAAACTCGGAACATTAGTCGAAACATCTCCGGCTAAACCAATGCAGAAAGTGGACCAGCGGAGACCGACAAGGCCAAATCCCCAAATCAAGGATAACATCTCCAGTGCGGATTCCGATCGCATCTTGCCTCGTACTTCGCCTTCAAGCCGAGTCGAAATTCCGGCGCGATTCTACACTAGACATTGCCCCCTGTTATGTTGCTACCTTTTGTCTTTATTGTACGTAATGTTGCTAGTTACTAACAAGGTTCTTCTCATTCTGACTGTTACATAGCTAGGTGCACATGGCATTTCGTTGAGTTTGAATTACTTCATGATTTGAACAACTTCTGCATTTATTTACTTCCTAGTTGTGTACATGTGCGCGGGGGCGCGGGAGCACGTATGTAGGCGTTGCAAAGGTGCGCTTGTGTGCGTACACTGCATGGCCAGCTCTGTGCTGCAGGCAGGTGACACCGACTCACATAGCCATCGCCGTTGGCCTGCCAGACGTGGTGTAGGCTACTGAAGGCAGCGTGCAGATCCGGGTGAATAGGTATGTCTGTGACAAAGCTGGCCCAAAGCCGGCACTCTCTCACTGACTGCTACCCTCATGCACCAGGCCATGTACACAAATCTGATCCAGGCCAAGAGGCGTCTAAGCGATTGAAGCTGCTGCGCAGGTGCTCGTCGTCTATGAGCTCCTGTGTCTCATATGAATCTCTCGTATGAATCTCCCAGAGCTTTGGGATTTGCGCAGCTCTTGGGCCTTTCGGGCTACGGATGCTACAGGCATCGGCTAGTACGAATGCTACATGCTGGAACAAGACAAGGTTTCCTGCTTGGGGGGGTGTCTTCGACGAACACTGAGATGACATGAGTGTCGGTAAGACTGATTCTCTAAGCCAGCACCACACCATGAAGGTATCTCGTCGATCTTTGTGGCAAAAAAGCGGAGAGGCATGGAGTTTGGAGTGCGGAAGTACAGCGGCAACGTCCGAAGCTAAGCATCATGAGAACCGCTTGTTACGACTTAACCAGGAACTCAGCGATGCTGGCCACCTCGTCAATGAAAACTTAAATCAGCTTACCGCTAGTCATCAGCCAGAGGGCCGGCCGGTATGCCAAGTGCCCCTCCATTCTAAGCTGCCCTTCCTGGCAGGACGGCGCGAGCGCAGCCACGAAACGCGAGAACTCGACACAACCGCCTGAAGGAAGGGGCCGGTTCGGGAAGGCTTGCGAGCTGCAAGACTTTCAAGGTAAGAATTTTCGGTTAGTTTCCCTGCAAACCCAGTGAAAGGACGCCTTGGGATTGTAGAGGTCATGACGCTAGCTGGCACAGGCAGATTCACACACAGGCAATATCGTGCAACACTGCCTCGTTTCAAAGGCCACAACAGCTGGGACTGAAGACTGAACAACTCCATTCCTTGTGCAAGCCGTGTAAGCTCTACACCTGCGGCACAATACTAAGCCGCCGCTCCAAACTTAAATGCAAACTGCAACTATTCTTCGTTCTCTTGCAAAAAATCCAGAAGCATGTCAACTCTGCCAGCACACTCTTCGCCTGAATCAATCGTCAGACCCCAACAAGCTCAGGCATCAAACACCAAAACCGCACGCGCTGGATCCTTCTCCGGCCGCCCAAAGCTCACGTCTGACCAGCTGAACAACACGCAATTAAAAGGGACAAGACTGCTCGATAGCTCATGCAATAGAACCAGCATGAACAAGACTATCTCAATCAGGACCAAAATCCATCCAGGAGCGACTTCCGGAAGATGTGAGTGGAAGCAGCCCGCCTGCACCCTTGGCCAAGCGCTCGGCCGTGTCTGCTGCTGCTGCGGGTGCCAATCCTGAACAGTTTTTGACCTACAGTGTGTCCAGCATGAAGCCTGGATCTACAGGAAAGAGGGAGACTGAGGGGTGCGGGCCTGCTTGTCGATTCACAACACCTCACAACCCTGTCACGAACTGTTCGTCCCAAGCCTTACGACTAGGAGGAGGAGGAGGAGGAGGAGGGCGAGGAGGGGCTTTGAACGTGTACAGCGCAGGGGCCTCGGGTTCCGGATAGAAAGTATAAAGGATGCACAAGCAAGCCCCACAAGCTCAGACAGAGAACTCCAGGCCCTAAACCCGAGATTATACACCATACACCATAATACTGCAGTTCGGCGTATGAACGCACGCGGCCTCCCAGCCGCAGGCCCTCGGCCAACTCCGCCTGTTTGCAGATTCGAGCTTTGGGAGGCTTGCAGTATAGCATGAAATAGATAAATAGATAGGCAGACAGATAGCTAGATAAATAAGCAGATAAACAAATAGATGGATGGATAAACAGATGGAGCAATAGGTAAGTTTGCAGTAGGTAGGTCGGTAGGTAGGTAGGTAGGTAGGTAGGTAGGTAGGTAGGTAGGTAGGTAGGTAGGGGGTAGGTAGGGGGTAGGTAGGTAGGTAGGTAGGTAGGTAGGTAGGTAGGTAGGTAGGTCGGTGGGTAGGTAGGTAGGTAGGTAGGTAGGTAGGTAGGGAGGTAGGAAGGTAGGTAGGTAGGTAGGTAGGTAGGTAAGTAGGTAGGTAAGTAGGTAGGTAGGTTGGTAGGTCGGTAGGTCGGTAGGTAGGTCAGTTGATCGGTTGGTCGGTAGGTCGGTTGGTCGGTAGGTCGGTAAATCGGTAGGTGGGTGGGTGGGTGGGTGGGTGCGTGGGTGGGTGGGTGGGTAGGGTAGGTGGGTAGGTGGTTGGGTCCGTAGGTCGGTAGGTTGGCGGGTCGGTAGGTCGGTAGGTCGGTAGGTAGGCAGACAGGCAGGCAGGTAGGCAGGTGGGCAGGTGGGTAAGTGGATAAGTGGGTAGCAGGTACGCAGTAGGTGGGTAGGGGCAGGTAGGCGGAGGTTGGGAGGTAGGGAGGTAGGGAGGTAGGGAGGTAGGGAGGTAGGTAGGTAGGTAGAGATGATGCAAAGCTAAAGATAGACAGATATAACTGTAGACGTAGATGCAGGTACAGATGTAGATACCAATACAGGTATAGATGTAGATTTAGATTTCGAGAGAAACATAGGCAGATCGTTAGGAAGGTATATACATCTTTATACTATACTGACATCTGCGATTGACTTATATATCTATGCGCATGTTTATTGTTTGTATTTTATTCACTTGTTGTTGTGGCGCTCCAATACTTAGATACATACATACATACATACATACATACATACATACATACCCGAACTGCGAATGCATTTCTCTGTATATGTATATATACTTACATGCATGGCGCTGTGTAATTCTATATGACGTTATGAAGTATTGACGTCAGTCCTAAAATCAGTCTGCTGAGTGATGCCCCGGTGCTGAAGAAGCTACCGTACCGCGGGAAGGAGGGACGAAAGAGCCTGATCGAGCATGCCATTCCCGTCTTTGTCCATGGACTCGAAGAGACTTGACATCTCGCCTAGGCACGGCAAACGGTACGGCGGAAACTTGCGCCCAAAGCACGGCGAGCACAACAGAGCCCCTTCCACGAGGCGAAAAGAAACCGCAAGTCCTGATGACTTTCAATGACCAGCTGCGCAGCTGCTTCAGCGGAAGCTGGGAGGCAAGGTCCAACAGGACGGCCTGGCGACATCCCTTTGAAGCGTCAACTAGCTAGGCTTTTACTGCGGACACGCATACACAAATCACACAGAGATATGGGAAAGATATCGATGGCATCTCTACAGGCACAGATATATATATATATGTTTGTTTATATATATATATATATACACATGTGTGCAAATATAAAATATTAGGATATATACATTTATATATGGAAATACATACACACATACATACATACAGACATACAGACATACAGACATACAGACATACAGACATACAGACATACAGACATACACATGTACATATGTTTATGTACACATACCTATATCTATATCTGCCGAGAGAGAGAGAGATAAAGAGAGAGAGGGAGAGAGAGAGCGAGAGAGAGATATATATATATATTTATTTATATACACACACAGTATGTACGTATGCATACATATATATATACATACACGTAAACACATGCATGTGGTTTCGTGTAGATATTCGTATTCATATGCATGTGCGTATGTGTATATATATTATTATATATTTATATATAAATGTAAACATATTGGACATATGCTTGACTATGTACACCTGCACCATATACACATATGTACGACATGTAAAGACTTATGCACGTACGTGTTTACTTACGGATGTATGCACGTAAGTGTGCATGTATGTATGTATGTATGTATGTATGTATGTATGTGGTGCGTATGTATATGTACTTTTGTGTCTGTGCATACTTGCGAGTCTACATGTGTGTTTACATCTTTTCATATGTACATAAAACCATATGCATGTACACCTAAACACACACACATATATATATATATACACATATATATATACACGCACATACTTTGTACGTGAAACTGAAAGTACTAGTTTGACTGTGAAAGAACAACTGATATAACATATATATATATACATGAACTTTACCTAATGAAAACAAAGATGTATACATGAAAATTAACTATATGTATATCTATGCTTGCACTAACTGTATATCTACACATGCAAAGGTACATCTATATATATATAGGTATCTACACATATGTGAACATATGTAAATACATCTGTATATCATGTATGCATAAGATTGCGCACCTTCAAATTTTGGGAGAACATGTGAGTGTGGTAATACGACATAGTACAACATAATATCACATAATATAACTTTAGACAACTTAAGTTCACTCGATATATCATAATACAGTACAGTCTGCCAGAACACAACATGCTATAACCTAACATAACGTGATGAAGTACAAATGCTTTCAACGACAATCCCCTCTGCCTGAGCCAGCGGGTTGATTCGATGGAACTGCAACAAGCTCTCCTCGAAAGAGAGGTGCTAGTTCAAACTCTGTAGGCTTTGGCTCACTCAGTTGCCATCACTTCCAAATTTCCGCACCATGCATTGTGCCGAGTTTCTGTTCAGTAGCAAGCCCTGAAAGCATGTGAAATCAAAGGGCACGTCACAAGTCGGTAAGCGCTACATCCCCGAGGCCCTGCACCCAAAAGAAGTTCTTAAACATTGAAGTCGAATTGCCCGTCTGCAATTAGCACCTTCTGTTCAATTCATTTGATGCTAGTTGTTGGGCCTGGGATCTTGCACCGCACAAATTCAAAACCGGCAGATGAGCGCAGCTTTCTCTCCCGCCGTGAAGTAATGGTGAGACATCCAAAAAATTGATAAGCATCAACAAAATTTACCACGGTAGTCATCAAAAAATGTTGATAAACATCTAAAAAAATTGATAAGAGGGTTTAGGCTTTAGACGGTAGCCATCAAAAAGATTGATAGGCATCAAGAAAAAAATTGCATGGAGGGTTTAGAATTTTTCAAGGTGTTTCTCAAACTTGTGTAAGATGCTTTTCAATTTTTCGATGCTTATCAATTTTTTTTATGCCTATGCCGTAAGGGTGAGGCGAGGGTCGATGATCGCAGGAATCATGCATCCCCAACCACGGCCACAACTCGCCCTTCTATTTCTCGCACAATCTCGAAACGTTAGCAGCGCGATTAAACCTTACATTCCAAAGGCCTTCCCTGCCAAGGCACAAGTTGGTGCTTCGAGAAGCGGCTGGAGGTTCTGGATAGCTCCAGCCACTGATGACCTTGAAACATAAGAAGCGAACGAGTCATACTGTTGCTGATATAAATCCTGCATTACCTTAAGGACGCTAGACTACGGGAATTATGGCACATTCCTTATTATGGGTCATGCAGGATTTGTATCATCAACCGTAATTCAAAGAATTGCTTGTGGTGATGGTGATGGTGAGATAGACTCCTACAGTCCGCAACACTAGGGGTGCTAGGATTAGAAAGGTCATCATCACACCTACTGTCCTAACGGCACCTACAAACCCGGGTGTAATATATAAATATGACACATAAACGGATTTGAATGCTGATTCCGCTGCGGGAGTAGAGGCATGTATGTACTAATTAATGGCTAGACTCAGAAAAATTTCGGAGCAGTGTTGATGAAACTAATCCCGACACAATCTTCCGATGTCGTGCCTACATCCAGAAGCCAGCTGAGCCCTGTTACTCGAAGATTGACGGTGGAAGGGGCAATGAAGGCAATCACTCATCTGCCAAACATGTGGATTTGTGCCTACTCCGATAGAACGATAGTTGCTGTCACTACGAAACCTACAGCAGCCAAACGAGCTTTCTGCTGCATGTTCGGTGCATATAAGTCGGCACGACGGACGGATCGGGGTGCAGTTGTCGTCACCTGCAGCTGTGTGTGCTAACCAACAATGCCTTCCACTGCCGATGCACGACCGTTTTGCTCGGTGCCATGAAAGTGCAAGGTGAGTTGGTTGTCACAAACAACAATGTGGTGCTCCTGCTCGGCAGGAGTTCGTGGAAGCAGGTGAGACTGCCATGCTCCAGGCTCGTGCAACACTGGCTCTCCATCGACTGACCCGATCAGTCAAACCGGCACACATTGGTCCCTGATCCCTGGTTCATCTGGCTCTGGATTCTGCAGCTGGATCTGCTTCGAGCATCTATGAAGTCTTCAACTCACAACTTCGTGGACGCTACGAAGTGTTCTTCAAGCAATTCTGCACTTGGGTTGCGCCCCGGCACGACGCCTGCAAATGCCAGCAGCCTCGGTGCTGTTGTCGCTCTCACGCCTGGCAAACTGTCGAAGAGCGGCCTCTGCTTGATTGGGATCATCCAGGCAGTTGTACATGAAGTGCTCACCCGCTTTGAGGGGCCGGGAGGAGGGCTGGGCCGCCGCATCCTGACGGCATGCTCCGTGCTGCAGCAACAAGGTCACACACTGTCCCCGAGCAGAGTCCAAAGCTGAACCCCAGCCCGGAGCAACGTAATTGGGGTCTGCCCGCGCCTGCAGCAATACTTGGCTGGCCGCGCTGTGGCCATAGTGGGCGGCTAGAATGAGAGGGGACACCTCATCCTCGTTCACGGTCCGAGGGTCGGCCAAAGAAGCAAGAAGTGTTTGGATGACGTCACTGCTCCCACCGCTGGCTGCATGCAACAAGGCATCGCTGCCGTCTTCGGAGCGTACAGTCAGGTCCGCTCTCGCCTCCAACAGCGCAGCGACAACTCCGACGTGACCGCCACGGGCAGCAACCAGAAGTGCGGTGCTACCGTCGTAACTGAAATAAGAGTCGGGGGACTCTCCGTTTGCAAGCTCCTCGCGGACATCTTCCAGTTTGCCACGACGGCTGTACTCGAACAAGGCCCGACCCTCTTCAGCCATGATGCTCTGATACTGACTGCTGAATGATGCAGCACACACTTGTTGACGAACTGTTTGTGACGGCTTGAGGAGCAGCTTCCAGGGTACAGGGATGCATGGTGGTGGTGGAGGGTGATGCACACGACCGTGAGGAGCCAAGCTCAACTGTTGGGAAAGTTGGTGCTATATATGTTGTCGATTTCTAGCTGCGCAGACATGCTCTGAACCCTGAACGGAATGCGACCCGACGCGATGCGACATCCACTATCCAGCACAGGCGAAGCAAGGGCAATCGCTCAGGATCGGGCCAAGCACTTTCTGCATCGAGGGCCGAGGCTCCTGCTGCATTGCACAGCTGCCCCATAGTGATGCTGTGATATAGCACCGACATGCACCGACTATCCATTGCAGTACTCTTGGCCACTGATGCCTCAGTATCGCCATCTATTCTTCTGTAGCCCTGCGCACGTGCAGGATAAGGATATCTATGATGAGTTAGCATCCTCGAAGCGTATGCATCACGAGAAGCAGGAAGCCCCTAAGTCGTAGTCGTACCACGATACTGTAACACAAGTCCCTTCCATGATTCTGCAAGTCACCTGTGCTCGTGTCTGCTCATGGCTTCTGCCTGCTGTTGCCATCCTGTGATATCCTGTGGTTGTTGCTTGCATTGACTTAGCAACGCTAGACTTATAGCCTGCAAGGCTGGCAGGCAGACAGCAGTCCGCACAGGGAAACTAACTTCTTCTTTGTGATATCAGCCACGGTAGCCTCACTGCTGCACTGGTTGGTCTTGTCCCCTTGTGATGTTACCGGCTCGCCTTTGCTACAATGTGACGAAACAACAAGATCACTCCATGATCGTGGTACAGGGGTGCTATGAAACGCTACACCAATGCAGTACTATTTTGCTTCGCTGCTTCACTGCTATGATACTCTGCTGCGATGTTGTCTAACTGATACGCTACGGTGATACTTCATCAACGCTGCTCATACTTACCGCATGTCCTGCACCATCACGGCTGGGTTTTGGCAATGCTGCAGGTTCAATAAACACTTACTACCACGGCTGCAACAGCAGCCCTCTCCTTCTTCCAGCCTCGACATTTTTGAAGCTAAAAGTAACACACTCAAACAATTCCAACTGCGGCCCCATCTTCTTGCAGTTCCCATCCTTGTCGTAGGTGAGCAGCAGCGTCAGGAGGCTTCGCACATCTTCGGAGCACTCGAGCCTTGCACGAGTTGGGGCTGGGGCCGTGAAGATGGGATAGGAATAGAATGGCAGAAACAGCTAGAATCAGGAGGACCTGGTGCACCATGTACTGCAACCTCAATACGCTGCAGGGCTTTGGATGAGAAGGTGACGACTTGGGAGTCAATTTTTTCGAGCTGGAGGCAAAGGCCTGAGAAGTTCGCTTTTCCTTTTTGAGATTCGGCGTCAAGATTAGCCTCAACTGACTGGCAAACTAACTCACCAACTCACTCGTTCTTCACTTGACTTGCTGTCTAGCTAAAAGCTCAAATATGGTGCTGCTCATTGCTGTGACCTTGACTCTTCTGCTTGCCGCCAGCTAAATAGCTGTCAGTTGCACCAGGCGTAGGGTCCATCCACCACACTGGATGCCCGCCTGACCCTGCGTTTTCTTCCACGGGCTTGGTTGGACTCGCCCGGCCAGGACCTGACCCTGCCCTAAACACGAAAAGAGCTCTCACCTAAGTTTCTCTGGACAAATACAGCTTAGTTCGTGCCTGCCTTTTTTCCCTGCATTCCCTTTCGAGTAAGATCATAAGTTCCTCAAGCTTCCAACCGATACAAGTAGCCGCAACGAATAAACCGCTTTCATGACTGTTGCGATAGCAGTTGTTATTGTCTCGAGCCTCTGGCAAAAGAGCAGCCTAACAGGCCTGCGGATAATGGAAATCTGAAGGCTCTTTCAATGGCCTGGTGAAGTCTGGGCCTTCCTTCTGCCGCGCGATGTATGCTTTCAGCTCCTTCCGCACATCTCCAACTCGCACACGTCTGATCTTTCAACAATCGCCTTTGACGCTAGACTACGTGAGTCACAAGCCAAGCCTGCAGCAGCTATCGTGAACCCTCCAAAGTCTGAGTACACCGCCTCAAGCCTTTCTTGTTCATGTCACCCTCGCGTGGCTCCGGACGGGACTCATCCGGGGGCGGAGAGAACGGATAGAAGTAATCGTACAGCTCCACTTCGCCTTTTCCTGTCAGATCGAGTTTCCCAGACTGGTCTCAGGGCTGAACACGAAACTACTGTGCCGAAAGGCCCTCCCAACAGCGCCTTCGCCCTTTACATCCTCAAGCCGCAGAGGCTTTCGGCAGAGCAGTGCGTAGAGACAGCAGCCTGCACAGGGTTTGAAAGGGTCGAGGACGCTCTGCGACTCGCTGTGAAGCTTCGATGCGCAGACGGCGAGGCCCCTAGCACCTGGGCTTTTGTTGGGGCGGGAACGGAAAGAATGGGGCGCGCCTAGAGACCAGACGTCGCACTTCGCGTTGAAGTTCCCGCGGATCACTTCCTTGGGACCGCAGGGCTGCGCAGTGCTGGGCAGGGCCGAGGCCGTCCGAACCGCTCCAAGTGGAGACGCTCCCCAATGCCGACCCCGGCAGTGGCGGTGCACTTTTGGCCGGCCTCTCTCTCCGGATGCGCTCTCCGTCCGCTCTCGACTTGTGCCCATTTCCCTCAAACTCCAGAACCCCAAATTTTACACTCGGAGCAGAGGTGCAGGAGCCATGGTCGCCAGCGTGCCAGCAGGGTCCGCGGAGCCTTGGAGATTTGGAGTTGGTGTAGGATGGTGTAGGACAGTTTCGGAGATTTGGAGCTCAACCTATTTCAGTCCAAGTTGGAACGTGCAACAAGGTCACAGGGGGCCACCGTTTCGCGTGCTTCACATGACCCAACTAGCTACAGGACGATCACGACAAGAACACGATATACAACAGTGTAGGATGAGAGCCTACAACAAGTATGGTTTGCTGTGCTTTGCAGTGTTTGCAGCAACGCATGCGGCATTGACAGCTTCACATACTCAGCCATACTCACAATGTGAAACGACAAGGAACTGAAACCGGTAAACTGCAACAAGACAAGATAAAAGACTGGACCAGCATGAAAGGCAACAATGACAGCTCAACTCAAAACATGGTCGAGGTGGCCACGCCAAAACCCGTCATGCCCTTCAAAGCAAAACACGGGCACCTTTGTTTTCCTCTTTTCTTCTACAAGTACACTTCTTCCGTGTCACGACACTTACGCGACTTAGCACACTTCTTGCACTCTGACGATTTCCGTTCTCCCTCACCCCATCTTCTTTCCCAGATTCTGTCTTTACTCAGTTTTTATTCGAAAGCCAGTCCAAACAACACCGACAATGCCTTGGCGGACCCTGTGACATCGTCATTTCAAAGCTCTGTTCACAAGGTCACAAGGTGCACTTGTAGGCCCCAAGAAAACCACATCCAAAGAACTAGCAAAGACTGATTGGCGACCCTTTCGCGACACTATACTACGACTGCTACTTCTACCGCCACTACCGTTACGACAACTACTACGACGACGACGACCACCACGCCCACGGCTGCCAGAAATCTCCCTCTCGCTTAGAATTTTGCGGATCTTTGCAAGAGAGGCCCGATCAAAGCCTCACTTGCAGTTAACTGCAGAAAAATCTCGTCACGAAAAACTCACGCTTGAAGCAATGCCATCATCATGTTTAGCACCCGGGAGCTAAAGGAGTCAGCTTCGGAGGGTGGGAAAAGCTCTGCGAGGCCCACATCGATGACCACCGCCTTGAAGCTGGGGAGCCACATACAAATGGCCTGCTTAGCTGTGTTGCCTGTAGCTGTTTACCTTCGCTTACATCGAAGCTGCACACATGCTCGAATGGCAAGGACCGCCTGCCCAAAATGTGCAAAAAAGCATGGGCCTAACGACAATGAACAATAGTCCTGCCGTCTGATCCACAATCCCACAACCAACGATAAACCTGTTGCCCCAAGCTTCGAGGTTTGAGCTTGACCAATCCCGCCTCCGGTGGTTGGACCGAGGCCAGCATGATGTTTTCCAGCTTCAAGTCCTTGTGCATGACGCCTCGGCTAGGCGTGTTCACCCGCAGTTCTAGATGACTTACTTGCGGAACCATCAGATGCTACTGCCACGACGGAGATGCACCCAGACATGGAAGGTCTCGTGGGAACGCTGCCATGCTCATGCAGCCGGACTCACTCGCCAAACCCTTTTGCTGCCCCGTCTTCTGACAGATGAACAACTCAGATCCGGCACCTTTGGCGTGGCAGTAGGCGACTCCTTGGCCAGACCCAATCCCCATGTGCTTCCAAATCACGCAACAGCGGAAATCAGGTTTCGGGCGGCTGTGTACCGACACCGTACGTATCGGCAGGTTCATGGAACCTCTCGGCACTTATTGTGGCTCTTCCGTCGAAGCCTACCAAATGGCATAAGCACCCAACGGCACTTTTGTTAGCTTTAGCCGCCCCTGCCGGCAGGTTGATTGATAGACGAGTTGTTGCCCGCAGGACCTCGTCAGAACAACACACGAAACCAGCTGTGCTCAGTGTCGAGGTTGTGACGACGTGTTCTCTTACCCGGGCAGGTGCCGTATAGCACAACTAGAGGGCTTTGACTCCATCTTGCACCCGAAAGCATCTAATGCCCCTTCCCTTCCAGGCCTTCAGCCGCCTGGCGAAAGACATCCCGCACCCAATTTTCCTGACAGACGGGCAAAAACCCGCCACAATACCAGAGCACGCGGGGAAGCCATGCATGCTGATGGCAAGGCCTTGGGGATCCCAGGTCGAAAGGCCGCCCGCGTGGAAATCATGTTCATCCAACCCAGGGCCTGATCTCCCGAACCCGGGCTCCTCGATTCGCCGCTTCTTGTTGTAAGATCCCTCCACGATATCCAGCAAGTCACCACCTTCCAGGGCGAAGCCAGGGTGTTGGAGAGCCGGAGCACGGAAACCACAGAGCCGAGGGGGGATGCTAGGAGCATGTTGGCTGTAGCAGCAGCAACAACACCAAAAGCATCAGGTATTTGAAGCCACTGTGCCTGGGAGCATGTCGGTAAACAGGTACAAGTTCAGCGCGTCAGCACAGTATTCCTCGGATTCTGGGCGTGGGTTTCCCTCTTGGTTGCTGTTGATCAGGAGGATGTCGCCGATAAGGATGCGAATGCTGATAACATGATGGTGGTGCGAGACAGGCTGCGTCCTGGCGGAGTTGCTGCTGGTGATGTTGAGCTTGAGCTTGAGCTTGATGTTGATGATGCTGTTATTCTTTCTGTTCGTAGTGTTGCTGTTGCAGCAGCAGCAGCAGCAGCAACAGCAACAGCAACAGCAACAGCAACAGCAACAGCAACAGCAACAGCAACACCAGCAGCAACAGCAACAGCAACAGCAACGGCAACAGCAACAATAACAACGACAA